GCGCAGGGACTGCCGAACTTCCTCTACCGGTTTGCGGTGCGTTCGGAGATGCAGCGGATCCAGTGTGCCTGGATGAACCAGCTCTCGCAGTCGACCTGCAACTCCCGCAACTGGAACACCTGGAAACGCTACTTCAAGAAAATGCTACGAGTACGGGTCCGCGGGATCAAGTGCGCTCTGAAGGACAAGAGGAACGACTTCAGTTTGATGGCGGACCTGGAGGAAGCTGCGGAGGGCTCGAAGGGGCTCCGAGAACCGACCAGGAAGAACCTGGGTTGGACGTCTTTTGGCGAGCGTGCTCGCCCTTTTGACGGCGCAAGCCGTCGAAGCTAAAACGGCCGAGAACCGGGGGCGGGGCACGAACAGGAGTATCAAGCACCGGGCCGCGCGGGCAGAGCATGTCACGGCAATTGAATCGAGCGAGGGTGATGATGGGCAAGAGGAAGATCACAGCCGCGGACTCCCTCGGAGGCCGCCTGGAGGCGCCCCGGGCGGCTTCTGATCCACCCCCTCCCCTTGGATTAGTTAACTCCAAAGCCTAGGGCGGCGCCCTGATCCAGCCCTCCCCCGCGGATTATCTCCGGAGTTAACTCGCGGCGCCCAGGGCGGCGCCCTGATCCAACCTCCCCCCGTGGATGAACTCCAGGGTTAAGTTGCGGGGCCCAGAGTGGCGCCCTGATCCGCCCCTCTCCCGTGGATTACTTCGAGAGTTCACTCACGGGGCCCAGGGCGGTGCCCTGATCCACCCCTCCCCCGTGGATTAACTCCGGAGTTAACTCACGACGCCCAGGGCTGCGCCTTGGTCCACTTCTCCCCCGTGAGTGAACTCCGGAGTTAATTCACGGGGCCCAAGGCTTCGCCTTGATCCACCCCTCCCCTGAGGATTAACTCTGGAGTTAACTCATGGCGCCCAGGGCGGCGCCCTGATCCCTTCCTCCCCCGTGGCCAGCGCCCAGGGCGGCGCCCTGATCCACCCTTTCCTTGTGGATGAATTCCGGAGTTCACTCACGGGGCACAGGGCGGCGCCGTGATCCACCCCTCCCCTGTGGATTAACTCCGGAGTTAACTCACGGCGCCCACGGCGGCGCCCTGATCCCCCCCCCCCGCGTATTACCTTCGGAGTTAAATCGCTGCCCAGGGCGGCGCCCTGATCCACCCCTCACCTGTGGCTTAACTCCGGAGTTAACTCACGGCGCCCCGGGCGGCGCGATCCACTTCTCCCCCGTGGATGAACTCTGGAGTTAATTCTCCACGCCCAGGGCGGCGCCCTGATCCACCCTTCCTTCGCGGATAAACTACGGGGTTATTTCTTCTCCAGAGTGGATCCTGCTACCAGCTTTCCCGCGGATGAAGTCCAGAGCTAATATTTCCCAAGGTGGATCGCCGTGCCGGCGGCTTTCCCGTGCATTAAGTGTCTATTTCCTCTTGGATGCAGCTGCTTCCCTCTTTGGAGGGAGGGAGGGAGGGGGGGAGGGAGGGAGGGAGGGAGGGAGGGAGCTCATCCTCCTCCTCCCCCTCCTCCTCCTCCTCTTCCATTCCTTCCCCTTAAAAATAAGTTTTCCCTGTCGCACCCCGAGGCCAGTTTTTAGGGCGGGCTGGGCGTTTTGTTTGAGATTTCCTCACCACCTATGACCCTGAAGCTTAAAAACTGACAACAGCTTCACAGATGGAGGGCGGGTCGTTTTCAACATGTGGCTCTCGCCTTAACGCGGCGCATATTCGTTGTCAAAGTTTGCAAGAGCTTCACGGATTGAGGGCGGGTGGTTTTCAAAATGTGGCTCTCGCTTTAACGCCGCGCACATTTGTTTTAACCATGTGCATGAGTTTCGCGGATTGAGGGCGGGTGGTTTTCAACATGTGGTTCTCGCTTTAGCGCCGCGCACATTCATTTTAACAATTTGCAAGAGTTTCGCGGATTGATGGCGGGTGGTTTTCAAAATGTGGTCCTCTCTTTAGCGCCGCGCACAGTCATCTTTTATAAGAAAGAGCGTGTTCTACCGCTGCTGGCGGAAAACCTGGGGGGTCACTACCGGTTCGAACCCCTCCCCCCCCCCCAGTTCATCCTGAAAGGGGAGGGGGGGGTCACTACCGGTTCGAACTCCCCCCCACCCCTCCCTCGAACTCGAAAACCGAGGGGGGGTCACTACCGGTTCGAACCCCCCTTCCCCCCTTCCCCTCGAAAACCGAGGGGTGGTGCGGACAGTGGTGGGGACGGTGGTGGTGGGGACAGTGGTGAGGGGACAACGGGTCAGTGGTGGGGACAGTGGGACAGTGGTGGGGACGGTAGTGGTGGGGACAATGGTGAGGACAATGGTGGGAACAGTGGGGACAGTGAGAAAGTGGTGGGGACGGTGGTGGTGGGGACAGTGGTGTGGGGACAGTGGGAATGTGGTGGAAACATTGGGACAGTGGAGGGTACAGTGGTGGTGGGGACAGTGGTGAAGGCGGTGGCGAGGACGGCGGTGGGAAAATGGGACAGAGGTACAGCGGGGACAGTGGTGGGGATAGTGGGGACAATGGTGGGAACAGTGGGACAGCTCAGTGGGACAGAGGAGGGGTCAGTGGGACAGTGGGGACAGTGGGGATAGTCGTGGAGACAGTGGGGAGAGTGGAACCGTGGTGGGAACAGTGGTGGGGACAGTGGGGACAGTGCGACATTGGTGGGGGCACAGGTCGGGACAGTAGGGACGGTGGTGGAACCAGTGGGGACAGTGGTGGTGAGGACAGTGGTGCTGGGAACAAAAGTGGGGGATGTGATGCGGACGGTGGTAGGGACCGGGAGTTGTTTGCTGGCGGTGCGTTTGGGGGGTTACAACCGGTAGTGACCCCCCCCGGCTTTCAAGTTCGAGGGGGGAGGGGGGGGGGGTTAGGGGAGGGGGGGGTTTTGCCGGGGGAAGGGGGGGGGAGGGTTTCAGCATGGGGAGGGGGGGGAGGGGGGGGGGGGAACCCCAGGTTCCGGAGGAAAAGGGTGGCAATTTTCTACAGTAAAGTGGCGGTGGATCACGCTCTCTCTTTTATAAATTACGAGAGCTTCACGGATTGAAGGCAGGTGGTTTTCAAAATGTGGCTCTCGCTTCAGCGCCGCGCACATTCGTTTTTAGACATTAGCGAAAGCTTCACGGATTCAGGGCGGATCGTTTTCAAAATGTGGTTCTCGCTTTAGCGCCGCGCACATTTTTTGATACAAGGTTGCAAGAGTTTCACTGGTGTCCATGATCGACGTACCAGAAATGGTGTTTTGGAGGGGGTCACGATTCTGAGGGCGCAACAGTTACGATGATTCGCGGAGTTGGGGTCCCAGGAATGGCGTTCTGGTGCGATTCGGGATCGTCAAGACGCAACAGTCAGGTTCACCCGTGGCGTTGGAATACCGATAGTATTGTTTTGGCATGTTTCAGGGTCTTCAAACATTTGTCTTCCAACGAGGCAGGTCCTTCTGTGGAAGTGAACCGAAGTAGGGGCCGATGAAAGGGGTGCTTGGGGGGAGGGTTTATTCCAACATCGTTGGTGACTCTTGGGTTTACGCTGGTCCCCCTCCTTCTCCTCCTCCTCCTGGATGAGGGAGAGGGGGAAGGTGACAGGGGTGAAGGGGGGTGGGGTGGGGGGGCGAAGGGAGTGGGGGAGGGCGAGTGTGCGGGGAGAGGGAGATAGAGGGAGGGGTCGAAGGGGGTTTGGGGGAGGGGGGGGGCGGGGAAGGGGGGGTATGAAGGCGAAGGGGGTGGGGGGCGGAGGGGGGGGCGCATGGGTGCGTGGGGGGGAGGGAAGGGAAGGGGGGGGGGGAGAGGATCTGCTGGGCCCCCGTTGGAAGCCTTGGGGGCTTTCTTGGGGCCATTACGGAGGCCATCGATTGAAGAAGTGAGGAAGCTCAAGTAAGGACCCCCGCCTGGGCGGCCCGAGAAACTGTTTTGGGGGGACCCCTTGGGGCGTTATCAGACGCTCTGGTGGCCGTCTTGGGCCGTCTTGGAACGCATCGGAAACGAAAGGCCGAGAAGGCAAAACAGATTGGAATGCTGGCGTTTGTTGCAGGATTGGGGCCTCTTGGACGTTTCCTTGGGACGTTCGGATGTCACTTGGAGCCGTCTTGACACGGTCTTGAGGGCTCTTGGAGGCGTGTTGGAAACTAGATTGAAACAGCTTGGGCTATCTTGAGCGATCTCGGAGGCCATCTGAGTTTTATGTTTTGTTTTCCTGGGACCCTTTTGGAATCACATGGGGTCATGTTGGACGCTCCAATGCCTCGCGAAACGCTCCCTCCAGACCGGGGGGGGGGGTGATACGGAGGGGGGAGGGGGGAGGGGGACCCCTCCCCGAAAGGGAAGGAGCGGGCTAGCAGAACGGGCTCGCTTGACCACTCACGCCCAGAGGGCTGGTGGGATTGACCCATGTTTCTTCTCCGCCGCTCCAACATTTTGCAATGCGGTGCCCTGCGGATGTTTCGGAAGACTGTCATACTCGTTCCCAGGATAACGTTTTCGGCGTGCGCTGCTCTGTCATGAGTGCGCAAAAGATCGAATAAACACAAAAAACGTTATCCTCATGTATCCGACGACGCGAGTTTTGCAAGGCGCGGGCCCAGAGGTCCCGACCCCTTCCCTAGGGTCATTTATCGCCCTGGATCCGCTTTGGATGACCCCGGGGTTCCGATGACCAGTCTCAGAGGCCAGAATCGAGGACAAACGCCGGGAGTCTGGAACAACACATGAGGCGTTCCAAAAACGGACTTGCCTTCGAGGATAGAAAGAGTTGTCATCTCTTCCGGTGCGGAAGGCGGCGGAAGGGCGGCGGAAGCTCGGCGGAAGTGAAACGAGGCCTCCTCCGCCAGCGGAAGCTCGGCGGAAGGCGGCGGAAGAAAAAAATGCGCCCCCAAGAGATGAAAACGTTTTTGGGTTCAGGGTTTCCGAAATCGCCCACATATCGCAAAGATTTGGGTCCGCCCCCGCCCCCACCCCTGCCCGCGCCCCTCCTCGCCGCAAAGCTCTGCCCTCGGTGCCGCGCCCGAGGCACGCGCCAGGAAGGCGGCGCAACTCCACGAGGACGGGCCCGCCCCCATCCCCCGCGGGGGGAGGAGGGGTCATCCACATGTTAGAGTGACCTTTCGCCGGGGTGCCCTTTGGTGCGGGCCCAATGGGGCTCCCCGATCGCCGAATGCGAAGTGGGAGCAGCGGCTTGAGCGCGTGGCAGTGTCCCCGGGTGTCTCCAAAGGGCCCCCCCTTGGCCGCGCTAAAGGTCACTCTTGCCTATGGTCACTCTTGCGTGTAGCCGAGAGGTGGTGGGAGCAGGGCAAGAGATTGCAGGGAGAACGTCGCGCTGGAGCGGCAGACGTACACCTCAGAATGAAGAGGGCCGAACGGCCAATTTCCAAACTCGAAAAGTTGCGAGGTCGACCCAGCAAGGGATCACGGACAACAATCGGCGGCGAATCTAGGGCGGAGGAGGAGGAGGAGGAGGAGGAGGAGGAGGAGCGACGCGGAGGAGGAGCGACGCGGAGGAGGAGCGACGCGGAGGAGGAGCGACGCGGAGAAGGATGAGGAGGAGGAGGAGGAGGAGGAGGAGGAGGAGGAGGAGGAGGAGGAGGAGGAGCGACGCGGACGGGGAGGATTGGAGGAGGGAGGGGGGAGGAGGGAGGAGGCAGGAGCGAGGAGGGGGAGAAGGAGGAGGAGGAGGAGGAGGAGGAGGGGGAGGAGGAGGAGGGCGAGCAGAAATGCCAGAGTCCTCTTGTATGCATCTCATAGTCTCTTCGGATGTCTCTTGAAAGTTTCTTGGAATCCTCTTGGAGCGTCGTGGGGGCCTTTTGGCAGTTCCAGGGGCCTTTGGAGCGTCTTGGGTCATCGGGGGATCCGTTTGGGGGTCTCTTGGGAGCCTCTTGGGGACCTCTGTGCGGCCTCTTGGGGTCTCCTGGACGCCTCTTGGGGCAGTCTTGGGGCACTCTTGGGAGCCTTGGTGGCCACCTTGGGGCCATCTTGGACGAGCTCGATCAAAGGAGGGTGGGGCCTGGCCTTCGGAGCACACCTCGTGCATACTGCGGGCACCCCCCAGCGGGATACGCGCCAGACAGGGCGGCCAACCCCATGTGCGGCGACTGCCTGAACGCGCTCGGCGAAGTGGGAAGCGACGCGGTGATTCAGAAACGCCTCCGCCCTTTTCTCAATTCCCTGGCGCAGGCACGTTCGCAGCGGGCGACCTGTCTCGAGGCTCGCGTGCTGAGCACCGTCGGGCGGCAGTTCGCCCCCTTCCTCATCCACCTCCAATGAGGATCCAAAGCCAGCAGGGTGGAATCGCATCCGAGCCACCCTCGCGACCGCCGCTGGCCGCAGGGCGTCGCGCTCAGCCCAGTTCGACGCCCAGGGTCATGGTTTTCTGAGCCCAAAAAATTTCGGCCCCGCAGCGACGTCGCCGTTGGACCGCTGCCCAAGATTTTATGTTTGGCTCAGTGTCGACACGATTCGAGGGAAAGCTTCCCCATAGCTTAAGTCTCCCAAGATAAAATGACCCTGTGACCTACCCAACCCATTTGCACCAAGTGACAACAAGAGTTTGTCCCAAATTGCCAGGACCATGACAATGCAGGCGCCGTTGTATGTTGTGCTAGCTACGTGGGATACGCGCACGTGGCATGATTCACAGGACAACGATCGAAGGACGATGACCGAGGGCCCAGGGTCGAAGAGGACATGGGGGTGGGAACAAAGAGCAGGAGAAGGACGCGAGGGGGGCCGAACAGTCAGCGCGGCAGCAGCAGAGAGAAGGTGATAGGGGGAGGTGGACGACGACGAAAACGACGGGAGGAGACAGGATAATGTTGCTTTTGTCGGTAGTACACTGAAGATACAGCGCTGGGCCATGTCGCTGCGGCGTTCGAGAGGGTTACACCTGCTTATAGCGAACGCAAGAAGCGAGCGAGGCCCAGCTCGCCCGCTAGTTTTTTTTTTCTGCCTCTTCACTGCACTTTCAGTGCGGGAGCTAAACGATCGAAGGCGCGCCGCCAGGTCTGCGGGCGGCCCGTCGGCCAGGAAATCCAGGCTTGGGTCGCGTATCATGAGGAAGTTGTTCACGGTCGTTGCCCTGGACAGCATCGAAGCCAGAGGTCATCCGTGTTCTCTTCATCCTTGCACCTGGCGTCGACAATCACACCGCGATGCATTGCGCGGCCTTGGCAAGCCCTGAACGTCAGGACTTCGGCATGGGAGATGGCCAGGCCGGCGCGCGTGACCTTATGGTTGCGGAAGTCAAACGGGCTCGAACTCTGCTGTTCGATGAAGACGAGCCGCGCCGCGTCCGCAGCGTTAGTGCTGTCATCGAGCTCCGCGAGCTTCTTGCCCCAGGGGCCAGCCTTGCATTAGTCCCGGCGCACTTATACGCCGCACGGCATGTACCGCAGGTACGCTGGACGTCGCTCGGCCTTCGCTGCCGCCACCCCGTTCTCATTTTTCGAGCTTGCGGCCACGTGACGACCTCGACCTTGGCGTCCTCGACGAGCCCTCCTGTCTCGTCCAGGTGCTCCAGCAGGCGGATGCGCGTGCCCACGTGCAGGGAGAGCATCCCGCGCACGCTGTCCGTTCCACCAGGGCTGACGCAGTTGACCGACTTCGCGGCCATGTCAACGGGCAGCGGGGGCGAGGACTAGTCAGCTGCCTGTGCGAGGTAGAGCACTCGCTCGAGAAACGCGGCGCCCCTCCTCGCGCGCATCATCGTCCGCCGAGCCATGATGTCCCAGGACCAGGCGATCACGTGTCTCGTTAGGGACCGCGCCTCGCCCAGTCGCCTGTCGCTGGGCTTCATCTGGATGCCGTTCCAGGTCCCCGCTATCGTCTGAGAGGCCCTACCCTTCTTCGGCTTGCGCATGAAGTTCACGAGGTCGGCGAGGTCGTGGTCCTCGTCGAAGCCGCTGGCGGCCTGGAGTTCGAAACTCAAGGCGGCTTCGCAGAAGAACGGCGCGGCCCTCGGGCTATCGACGGACACCCCTCCCCCGGGCCGTCGTCGGCCGCCAACGTGCGCGGGTCGGGCAGCAGCGACGTGCCGGGGCCGGTGGGCTTTAGCTGCTGCAGGGAGCCCCCGAGGTAGATCACGATGGGAACGCGGCCGAATGCGCAGGGGGGCTTCAGGTAGTTCGCCTCCTGCAGCTCGCAAGCACGGCGCCTGGCGCGGAAGGCGCGGTAGGCGAAAATACCGAGGAGGTCCGGCGAAACAACGCTGACCTCTTCGACGACGAACAGCCGCAGCGGCAACATAGTGCAGCCGTTTCCGCATATCGACCGCGGACAGCATGGCGCGGCTGCAGCGCTCCCCGATACCCATCTGGGCAACCCTGCGGCGCGCGGTCGCATTGTGCTTCTCGGCGGAGATGCTCTCAGCTTGGGGCCATCTGGCGCAGGCGATCCTCGCGGCGCCCTGCCCGAACGGGAAGTTCATGGCGGGCAGCGCGATCTCCTGGGCGATTGCCGTCTTGCCCGGGCCACCCTGGCCCATCGGCAGCATCTGGAAGGTCTGCCTTCGCTCCTGATGTTTCGTTCTTTCTCGCCATCCCACGCGGCATTGCAGGCGTGCGCAAACTTTACCAGGAACGGCGTCTGGTCTCGCTTCCGTCCGCGCGGAACTCGCTTTCCCGCGGTCGGATCGACCGGCCCCCCCCCCTCGAACTTCTGCGCGAGATGCGCCGCGTAGTCGCTCGGGCGGCGCCGGGCGCCAGTGGGCGCGAAGAACGCCTTTAGTTCGGAGCCGCGCCGCGGCGGTCGTTGGCTCGAGTAGTTCGCCCGCGGGTCCGAGGTGCGGCCGCCGTCATTTGCCGCGCGGGGCGCGGGGCAGTCCTGGCCCGACAGCTCCGCCTCGTCGTGTTTGGATATCCAGGACTGCCTCTGGGTGCTCACCAGCTCCTTCAGCACGGCGGGTTCCAGGTGCTCCAGCGTTTTGCAGCGCGGCAGGATATCATCCTGCGCGCGGGTCGCGCGCCGATCGGCCCCGCCCTCGCAATTCCGAGGCGCGGGCAGACCGCCGCCGCCCAAAGTCATCGCGGACGCGCCCGTGAGCTCTTTCACGACCTGCTGCGCCCTGTCCGCAGTCTCGAAGCAGAGAATCTTGCGCGGCAGCTCAGCTTTGAAATGGCGGGCAATGACCGTGTCCGAGCCGTGCGTGGCGAGGCCGGCTGCGGCGCGCAGAGCAGCCGCCTCGATCTGGCCGTCCGCCTCGCCCTTTCTTCCGCGGTGTTCGACGAGCTCGGGGACAGCCGCGCCGTCGTCGGCCCCCCTCTTTTGCCGGGGCTCCGGCGGCCAGGCGACGCGCGCGAAGTTTGCCGAGGCCCCTGTCGTGGCGACCGCGACGCGCTCTCGGACCGAAGGCAGAAGCTCGCCCCCCGCGTCGGCAAGCGCGGATATGCTATCGTCACGCGGGAGCGTAGCGCCAGCACCTCCGCTTTTCTTTTCCTCGGTGCCGATCTGGAACAGCCGCTGGCGCACCTCCGCTGTCCGCAACGGGCTGAGCACGCGGCGGATTGCCGCGCCTTGCACCGCGCCTCGCGCGCCGCGCTCTCCTGCTGAGCGGAAAAATATTCCAGCCGCGCGGGAGCGGCCCCGGCTCTCGGGGCCCAGGTTCTGGGCGGGCCGCTGCTTCTCGCCGGGCGGCGCCGCGCAGGGCGCCGCGCGCGGCTGCCGCAGGCGCGCTCCCCTGGCGAAGCCCTCGTCTGCGAGCTGCTGGAAGCGCGCGGGGCAGAGGATAATGGGCTGCATCATGTGGCGTGGCCCCCCGCCAGACTTGGGGACGAGCTGCGTGCCCTCGGGCACGGGCGCCCGCGGCTCCATCGCAAATCGCCGCGCGAAGGTGCCCCGTGACGGGCAAGCATCGTCGAACTGGATGTCCGCGCGCCGCGTCGGGGGCGGGCGGTCGGAAGACTTCCCGCGCGCGGTGGGGTTCTTCTCCACGTGGTACACCCACATGCTGCATGCGCAGAGGCGTAGAGGCTCACGCCGCGGACGACGGGGCCCGCGCCGCGATGCAGCCAGTCGCCCAGCTGACTCATGACGAAAGTAGTAGACGTGCGCCCGACAGCACTGGCGCCGGGCCCGCCGCCTTTGGCGTCGGCGATGGGGATCTAGTCCTCGGCGGCGCTTTCTTGCAGTTCCCTCGCCAGCTTGTCGAGCGCCCGGGCGGCCGCGCCCGGGTCTGCGATCGCCTTGAAAATCTCTTCGAGACATTTAGGGAGTTGTGCTCTTAGCCTTCTGGGTTCTTGGAAACTTCCCAGCCGTCGCACACCCGGCATTCCCAGCCGGGAGGGGGTTCCATGTCGGTCCCGTCCGAGCAGGTGCAGGTGGGCAGGCGGTGTTCTCTGTTGTTTGTTTCTCTTCTCTCTCTCTCTCTCTCTCTCTCTCTGTCTATATATATTTATATGTATACGTGTATATATGTATAAATATACACGTATACCTATATCTGTATATATATATATATATGTCTGTCTCCCGCGCCTCCAGTTGGCCGTGACGCGCGCGCCAGGCGGAGCCCGCCAGCCAAATGGCCCTGCGGAAGAACATGTTCCAGCAACGGTGCGTCAAGAACGACATGTGTCCGAAGAGCATGGGGGACACCATTTCGCACCCGCTCGTCTAAAAAAGCTCAGCGAAAACGCGTTTCCATGCGACAGAGAAGCTGTGCGATGCGCCTCCAGTCCCGCTGCATGCGCGCGGCAGGGGCGTTCTCATCTTCTTCGGTCGGCGCAGCGTCGTCCTCGCGCCAGTCGTCGGTCAGGCGACGCACTCTGGCGAGCAGCTTATCGAGCTTTGTGTCCATCGTCGAATCTACTTGGGCCGCGCATGAGTTAGATGCAATGGCCCGTGTTGTGCGCGCCCAGCACTTCCAGCGTCGATGGGCGGCTTTGCTTGGTCTGCTCCCCCGCAGGCTTCGTCGCCTTCATCAGCGCCCTGCGCCGCAGGCGCGGGGTCGTCTCTGTCGCAGTGTTCATCCGGGCCCGAGCGGCGACAAGCTTCATCTAGAGGCATCTCCCCCAGGTTCTTCAGAATTTCGTGCCAGTCAGTGAACGTCACCACGGCGTGCCGACGGTGTTCCGTAGTCTCCAGATGCTGCATCCATCCCCACTGCTCTTGCTTGCCGATGCTGATGTCCAGGAATCGCTGCGGGTAGGCGCCGTGGCTTCAGGCTAGCGCCGATTCTGAGGTGTCTGGATGCGGCTCCTATTCAGACGGGTCCATCCAGAGCTCGGGGGGCAGCGCTCGTCGGAGATCTTGCACGTCCAGATTGGAGCCGATGATGACCAGACCCATGTAGTTCGTGCTGCTCTCGACCGGATGCTTCTGGAAGGTGATGTTCTGGCCCGCCATGCCGTACCTCGTGTCGCGGAAGATGCCGATACAGCCGCGCATATGCTTGCCGCGTCGACGGATGCGCACCGCTTCGTCGGACTCTTGGCCCTACAGGTTTACCACGCGGTAGAAGTGGTGGCGGCAGATCTTCGAAGAGCCCTTCAACTGGTACTCGAAACACGACGGGCTACAGATGTGCACGGCGCAGCCGATCACGAGGTCGCGTCCGTGTGTGCACACCTCCTTGATCCAGTCATCGGACGGCAGCGCCTGGCGGAACTGCTCCATGACGCTCTGCGCGCTGTGTCCGAGCAGGAACGACGGCATTTCTCCAGAGGCAAACTCGTGCAATGGCGTGGACCACAGGCTCTTTCTCTTCTGCAGCTGCTCCGCCCGCCCGGTCTCCAGGTCTACATCGTTGCCTTGTTCGTCACGCAGACCCAGCTTCGGGCGCCTCGCTTCCTGCTCCGGGTCTTCGTCAATCTTATCGGGGCACCAAAAGTACAGTTTTTGGTCGCCCTTGCTCTCTTCCATGTTGAGGCGTTCCGCCGAGACGGTCTCCACTTCGCCGTCAGCACCGAATTGCCCGCGCCCCCTCAGGCCTAGAGGAAGCTCCCCGACCTCCAGCTCGGGCGGCAGCGGGTCAGCCAGGTTGCCTCCCAGGAATCCCGCATATCCCGTGATCTCGAATTCCTGCACCGACTTTAACGCGTGTGCGAGCTCTCGCATCCACAAGGCCACGCGCTCCTTCAAGGTGGCTCGGTCGCGCACCAGCGTATCCAGCAGCTCCCGCATGGAGATGAGCACGAGCCAGACGAGGATGCGGGGATGCAGGGAGCCTCGCCCCTGAGCCTCGATGGCACCGAACGCCGCGGACACGGGGCTCGCGATGCTATCCTCGTAAAAGTCCACCGCGCAGCTGTCGAAGCAGCACGCTCTGGAGCTCTTGCGCGCGGCGCCGCGACGCCAGCCGACGAGGTCGGAGCGGATCCCGAGGACGTGGACGAAGAAGAGCAGCAGCAGCAGCTCGAACACCAGCGTCTGGCCCACGTGGTCCCGCGCGAGCCTCTGGACCATCTCCTTGTACGCGGGGCTTCGGTCCGTGCCCCGCTCTCCCAAGCCGGCACTCTTCTCCCTGCACCACCAGCAGCAGCGGCTGCGTCGTGTCGGCCAGGTTCGGGGTGAGGGACACCAGCGGCGGGCCGAAGCGCAGCGCGTACGCGATCCCGTCGCGGCGCAGGAGCTCGCGGTGACCATTGGGCCCAAGGATTCCTGAGGCCCAGCGCTGCATGGAGGACAGCGCGGTCTGCAGCATTTGGGGGAACATCCTTCTTGCCCTTCTCGTGCATCTTCAAGATGGCGGTCTGGATGTCCTCGGGCTCGAGGTCTGTGATTTTCTTTGTGAGCCCGAATACGCCAGGCATATTCAGCGCCGCGTGCACGCTCCTCGTGGTCTCGGCCACGCGCCAGAACGAGTGCATCAGATGCAGCACCTGCCACGAGCACCGGAAACGGTTGACCTTCGTCGCCACGTAGGGCCCTTCCTCGCCAGTCAAAGTGTACTCGAGCTCCTCCCTGCGCGTCGGGAACGTGATCCATTCGACCACAGACAGCGGGGGGGCGCTGATTGCCGAGGCCCCAAGCGCAGTCCCCATAACAGAAGTCTGTGGGCCTCGCCTTGGGCCAGCACGACGCTTGCCACCAGCTGACCGGCTGTGTCTCCGTAGGAACTCGCAGTTGCGCGCGTTTCGGCTGGCTCGCGCGCGCAGCGGCCGCTCCCGCGGCAGCCTCGGCCGCAGCGTGCGACTCTGCGCCGCCCGACGCGCTCTCCCCTGGGGCGTTCGACCCGGTCGTCTGCGGCTGCTGCCGCGCGGGCGCGCGCGTCGGCGTGCCCGCAGTCGCCGCGGCAGGGCTCGCCTCCACGCGGGACTTCTCCTCGAGGCCCGCCTTGTCGCCTGCCTCGTCGCCCGCCTCGTCTCCTTGCTGCGAGCGGCCCGTCATGATCTGTTGGGCTCGCCGCAGCAGCTGCCAAGACTCCTCCTCCTCCTCCTCCTCCTCCTCCTCCTCCTCCTCCTCCTCCAGGGACATCTTCCGGCAAGGGGCGTGCACCTTGCAGCAGGCATGGAGCAACCGCTCCCCCCCGACCTCATCCAGAGCCTCGAAACCGCCCTCTTCACCCTGGCGGACGTCTCGTTGGCCACTGTGCGGCCTCCGAGCGTCGTCGCATTCTCCAGCATGCGAAGCAGCTGCGGCAGGATGGAGAGTTCCGCGTCGTCGGCAGCGTCGTGGTCGAAGACGGAACTGTGCGGCGTCGACCCCGCAGCGTCCGCGTCTGCTGCAGCACTGCAGCCTCGTTCTCTTGCGCCCCCGCAGTCGTCGAGGAGGCGGGCCCCTGACGAAAGCGCACGCCAGAATCTTCTGTGGAACCGCGCGCCCCGCAGGCAGGTCTTCCTTCAGGTCTCCCGCACTTGACGTTCGGGTCGTTGTAGACATAGTTGGTGTCCTAGAGGCGCCCGGCCTGCGCGTCGAACTCGTCTCCACAGACTTCGAACTCCACCTCTTTGCGGAGCCGCCGCCTTGCCATTTCGTCTCGCCGTCTCTCCGCCTCCGCGTCGTCGCCGTCGATGGCCTCCTGCTCTTCCGCCGTGGGCCGCTCCGGCCCTTGAAACACAATCGCGAAGGCATTCTGGAGCACGACAAACTACAGGTTATCAGACATCAGCAGAAGCCTCTCTCTGAGCCCATTGCTGCTTTCTTGGACCGTGGTGCGCTCGCGAAGGTATTCTGGAGCACGACGAACTACAGGTTGTCAGCAGAAGCCTCTCCCTGAGCCCATTGCTGCTTTTCCTGGACCGTGGTGCGCCCAGCGCAGTGGTTGGGCCCAGGCCCATGTTTCGGCTTGGCCGTAGGTGGTTGCGGAGGGCACTGGACGCGCGCAGTGGAGCTGCAGCGAAAAAGTGGCTGACAGCGGACTGCGCGCGCGCCGCGGGGGGGCTACAGCATGCAAGGAGCATGTCTGACCGCACCGCGAGCGCGCGCGATTTGTGAAGCCTGCGGGGGTAGTAGTCGTTGATGCACCAGCCCAGCCTGACAGCGGCATCGAATCGCGGGACCGTGTGAGGTGTTGGCATGTGCGGATCCGTTCTTCACGCAGTGCGCAGCCCTTCAGGTGCACGCTTCCCCGGGCAAGAAACACCCCATCTCAAATGGGCGCGCTCGGCTTGGGGGGTGGGCACACGAGAAGAAGTGCGCTAAGTGCACATTACTAATACCAAAACTTACATATGCGACCACCCTTCGGGTGATAAGGAGGTTGTGCGGGGGGAGAGGGGGGGACCAACCTCTGACTCAATCGATCTGACTATCGATCGCACTCAACGGGACACCACGGGACACTTGTCGATCTCACTATCGATCTCACTATCGATCTCACTCAACGGGACACCACGGGCAACCACGGGACACCTCGGGACACCGCGGGACACCTCTCGATCTCACTATCGGTCTCACTATCGACCTCACCATCGATCTCACTCAACGGGACACCATAGGACACAACGGGACACCACATCGGTCTCACTATCGATCTCACTCAATGGGACACCACGGGACACGACGGGACACCTGTCGATCTCACTATCGATCTCACTTTTTGGGACACCAAGGGACACCAGCGGGACACCGGCGGGACACCGGCGGGACACCGCGCGCGACCAGCCGCCGGAGGAGAATCATTTGGTCTGGCCGCGGCCCGGCCACAGGAGGATTTCGTGACACTAGCGGGACACTGGCGGGACACCGCGCGCCACCGGCCGCCAGAGGAGAATCATTTGGTCCAGCCGCGGCCCAGCCACAGGAGGATTTTCTTTCGCCAGCCCACGCAGCTTCGCCTCGCCCGCACGCACGCACGGCACGCACGACACGAGCCCGAAACCGAAATCGATTTCCCTGGTAGGAGGGGTCGATCGGAATTTCACACTGTGAGGGAGGGCGGATGACGGAGGACAGACAGACATCGCGGGAGGGAGACAGGCAACATCATGATCAACGGAATGCTCTGTGCGCAAGTTGGCTCGAGTACGCTCCGCGTGAATCGACACAGCTCGGCTGCGACGCCGACGCCAGAGACCGAGGAGCCGCCCTGCCCCTGCCCCCGTCCACTCGCCTCCGGCCCTCCCCATCCACACCGCCTCCCCGGTCAAAGAACAAACCAGTGCAGGAGGAGGAGGAGGAGGTGGAGGAGGAGGAGGAGGAGGAGAAGGAGGAGGAGGAGAAGGAACAGGAGGAAACGGAGGACGAGGACGATGAGGAGAGGGGAGCGTTCGGAAAGAGGAGGAGGTGGAGGAGGAGGAGGAAGATTCGCCTCCTCCCTCCTCCTCCGCTGCCCTCCCCCTCTTCCGCCTTCCTCCTCCTCCATCCGTTCTCTTTGTAAATAATCCCCCCTGTCTGTCGAACCCCCAGACGCGACGGCGGGGCGGGCCGAGCGTTTCGGTTGAGGCTTCCTCGTAAGTTGTGATCCTGAGCCTTGAAGTTCGCAACTGATGCAAGGATGGAGGGCGGGTTGTGTTCAAGATGTGGCTCTCGCCTCAGCGCCGCGCACATTCGACTTAAACGTTTGCAACCGCTACAAGGATGGAGGGCGGGCCGTTTTCAAACTGTGGCTCTCGCCATAACGCCGCGCACAGTTGCTTTAATATGCTGCGGACGTTTCAAGATGGATGCCGGCTCTTTACAAACATGTGGCTCTCGACTTAGCTCCGCTAGCAGTGGCCTTAACAGCTCTCGCATTCTCATTAACAGTTTGCCGCAATTTCAAGGATGGAAGGCATTTTCCTTTTCCGAAAATGTGGGTTTCGCTGGAGCGCCTCACGCATTCGTCCTAAAAGTTTACAGCGGTCTCAAAGATCCGTGGGGTGGAAGTCCCATGGCGTTCATCCGTGTTTTAGGGTTGTCTGGAATCAGCGGCCACGTGGCTCGCGGTGTGTAAGTCCCAGGTATGGTGTTTTGGCACGGTTTAGGATTGTCAGGCCGCACCAGTCACTTTGATTCGCGGCGTTGAAATCCCAGGCATGGCGTTTTGGCACCACTGAGGATGCTCAGGCGGTTTTTTGTATGAATCGGTTGTCACAAGAGTTGTCTTTCATTATTGCAGGAACCTGTGCACAGGGAACTCGGAAGGGAGGGTTTTACGCGCCTTGGGTTCACACTGGTCATCCTCATCCTCCTTCTCCGCTTCCACCCCTGACACCTCCGGGAGAGGGAGAACAGCGAGGGTGGTTTTGGTGCCGGCCAGCTCTGCCGAGGAGCTGGAGAAGAGCGTGACCCAGGCTTTGCAGAAGAAGCAGGCGGCCTGGCCCCCCTCTGTCGGGTGTTGCTACAAGTGCCCTTGGCCCAGGGTGCCCCCAGGATTTCCAAGGAGGCCCCCACGCCGCCAGAGCACCACTCACGAGACCCAGGGGCCCCAGGGGCTTCACAATGGAAAGAAAAACTGGGGGCACCTTGTGCCAGGGGCACCTTCAGCAACCCCCGACTATGGCCCGTCCGCGGTAGGACCGTGCCGTGTCGACGCGGCGGCGACTCCAGCGCGGGCGCTCAGGTTGTCATCGGTCAGTCGCCTGGAGTCGGCCGCCAGTCGCTCGGAGTCGGCCGACATCGAACGACCCAGGCTATCGGAACGTCGCGATCGATCGGGGTGGAACGTTTTGGGCGGGCTCGGGAAGCGACGCGCAGGTCGCCACGACACGATCCTGTCGCCACGACACGACACGAGGAGGAGGAGGAGGAGGAGGAGAAGGAGGAGGAGGAGGAGGAGGAGGAGGAGGAGGGAGGAGGAGGAGGAGGGAGGAGGAGGAGGAGGAGGAGGAGGAGGGAGGGGAGTGGACGGCGGCGGGTGGGCATCATCACTCTCCGTCCCCTCCTGTGCGCAACCGTCTCTCCGCCGCCGCAGCTGCCCACGCGCGTGGCGCGCGCGCGCGGCCCGCCGGCAGCGCCGTGCCTGCCAGCGGCCGCTCTCGGGCGGGGCTGGGACGGGTATCAATCGCTCCAGACCTCCTCCTCCTCCTCCTCCTCCTCCTCCTCCTCCTCCTCCTCCTCCTCCTGCTATTCCTCCTCCTCCTCCTCTCTCCTCCTCCTTCCTCCTCCTCCTCTTTTTCCTTCTCCTCCTCCTCCACCTCCTCCTCCTCCTCCTCCTACCCCATTCCTCCTCCTCCTCCTCCTCCTCCTTCCCATCCTCCCCCTCCCCCATTCCTTCTCCTGTTCCGTTAGATTCTGTGCGCACCCGTCCTTCGCGCTGGGCCGAGATGGGGACAGCCAGCTTGATGAGGCCTCGCCCTGCATCGCCTCGTCACACTCCTCGCCGCGGTTTGCAGTGGGGGCCCATGCCAAGAAACACCTTGCTTGCCTCCAGGGTGCCCTGGGTTTCTTGTGCTTCGAGGGTTTTGCTCTGGAGGGCGCGACGTTCCCGCACCAAAAATCAGTGGACGTTCTGGGGTCTCAGGGTTGGGTTTCTTGTGGAAGGTTTCTTGTGGACTGGCCTCCAATGCACACGAAACAGGACGTGGACCTTGACGACGGCGCGGGACGCGAGGCCCTCGCCGAGAGAGGCGAGAGCGACGGGATCGACATGCCGAGCCCAGTGAGATGCCAGTCCGCCAGGGGAAAGAAGCGGGGAAAGAAGCCGAGGTGTCTTCCTCGACATCCTGGGGAGAGGGCTTAGAACATCGACTGCGCCCCTGTGGTATCACAAAGGGCTCGCGCAAGCCCGCCAGCAGTCCGAGGCCGTCTTTCTTTCTTATCTCGCGCTGACAGCCTTGACCGAAGAAGCCCCCTCATCCTCTTCATCCCTCTTCCCCCCTCTCTCTCTTTCTACTTTCTCTTTATGTTATTTCTGGTTTGGCTTATTACTCTCTCTCTCTCTCTCATTTCCATCTCTCTCTCTCTCTCTCGCTCTCTCTCCCCCCTCTCTCTTTCTCCCTCTCGCTCTCTCTGTCTCTATCTCTCGCGTTTTTTTTGTTCTCTCTCTCTCTCTCTCTCTCGTTCGCTCTCTCTCTCACTCTCGCTATATGCATATACTTTGGGTGGTATATCCATGCATGTATATCTCTATAGTTTCCTCTCTCTCTCAACATATATATATACATATATACATATATATATATATATATACATATGTATAGTATCGCCCCCCGCGCCTTCGCCGACCACGGATCCGCAGTCATATTCGGGTCGATGGCGGGTCACGCCTGAACAGTCGCGTCATCAGTTGCGCCAGGGGGAACCAGTTCCGTTTTTTTAGATGCCCTCCAGCCCTAGGGCTGGGCAGGCGCCTGCCCCCTGCCAGCCTGGACACGCGTGTTCGCATCGGTGTGTCTTTCTCTCGTTATCCTTCTCTCTCTCTCTCGTATTATGCTGCTCTTGTGCTAGTGATGATCATGCATATGTATGTGTGCATGTGTGTCTGGATGCGTGTATATATAGCACTATATATGTCGCTCTCTCTCTCACTCTCTCTCTCTCGTTTCCTCTGTCTTCCCCTCCCCACGCCAAATGGAGATGAAAAGGAAGAGGAGAATAATAAGAAGACGGCTGATGAGGAAGTAGGAACAGGATGAGGACGATGAGGCTCTGGCCACGCGGAAGGAGGAGGAAGAGCGAGGGAGAAGGAAGAGAGAGGAGGGATAAGGGAAGAGGAAGAGGAGCGGGAAGGTCGAGGATAGTGCCGAGGAGTCGGGAGTTCTGCACACGTCCATCGTTTTATGATGTCATTGCCTGTCTCGGTTCGATTGGACGACGCGTCTGCCAGTCCTTGCATTTTGTGTTCACAGTCGGAAGTCACAGCACGGATTTGTTTTTTGCGAGAAGGATTTCCCGTGATGGTATCATGTAAATCGGCATGTGTTTTTGGTCTCCGTTTTTTTGTCATATGCTTTTCGAAACATAACGGGGCTTATACCAGCAACGACGGATGGGTTGATCGCATCACGCAGGGATCGCGTAAACATTAAGTCATACACGCGTTGCTCTCTCGCACGAGCGCACTGGGAGGGCGATGCGCAGGCGTTCTTCCACATCGACTCGAGCTGGTCGAGGAAGGAGAAGGAGACGTTCCAGAGGGGTGTCAAGGATGCGCGCTCTCCCTCGCTGTTTCTAGTGGGTCTGCTTCCCGCGGGGCTGGCTGGGCCGAGTGCACGACGAGACCTTGCAGGCAGGCCCGCGGGGTACTGCACGGCCAGGCGGCGTTGCCGCCTCTCGCTTTGCTCCGACGCTCGGTGGTTGTGGCGCCGACCAGCTGGCCCTGCACGAGCCCTGCAGCGCGTGCCTCAGCTTTGCGTCCCCCGAGGGCTGGAGGAGGGCGAGGTCGCGCGCGGGAAGCCGCCGCATCACACGTCGCCGCTGGCCGCGCACCGCCGCCGGTAGCGCACGGAGTCGTGGAGCCGCTCTGCCGAGGCCCACGCCTCCGGTTGCGCACGGGCACGCTGCGCATACCGCCCAGCATGTCTCACTGGGCGCTCCAGAAGAGGCCTCGCTTTCGGCGCGTCGACGCCCTCGGCGGAAGCCAGCGGAAGCATCACGGCGGCAGGCCCGCTGGCGCAAGGCGGCGGAAGCACAACTGACACGTCAACATGCTTGAATTCGGAGTTTCCAGGATCTGCCACGTGGTTTGGGCTCGCTCCACACCAGTGCAAGGGCAGCACTCTGCGTGGCGACCTCCCTAGAAGGCAGCGGCATGACGTGACAACGCCTCGCCCCCATGCTCCAAGGGGCCTTGACATGCGCCACCAAGGGATACGCCTGTCGCCTGGGATACGCCTGTCGCCCAAGGTCCAACAGAGCCGCAGCATGCAACACCTCTCTTCCCCCGAGCACAGAAGATCGTGCCACGTGGCAACTCGCCTCCCCAGTGGAGAGAAGGCCGCAACATCCGACACTTGATTCCCCTGCAGCCCCTAGGGCGGTGACATGTGACATGCCTACCAGGAGCCTGCTCGAGGCTTTGGGGGGGTTCCTTGAGCCCTTGGGGGGCCTTTGGGGGTCGCCGGTCATATTGGAGGGCCGTGCGGCCCTTCGAAGGGTCTCGTACAACGGATGTCTTAGGTGGGCGTTTCGGGCTGGCCGCTGGCCTTGTTCCGAAGCGTAGCGCTCCAGGGCCGTTCGGGGGGCGTCTTGGGATGTGGCCTTGGCGCCGTTGTGGGGCCACCTTGTGGTTGCTTGGGCGACGTCTTGTGGCCTCCAATTGCAAATATGAACAGAAAGCCTGCGGTTGTTCATTGTCTTGGGTCTCTCAGGGGACTGCTGGATAGCTTCTGGAAGGTAATTACCTTGCGAACGCCATCATTTCCTTTATCATCATCCACCCTCCGCTCGGCACCCTCCAGCCACCACCGCACAGCCTCCACACCCTCGTTCTCTGTCGTCCTCCCTCCTCCGCTCTTCCCCCTCTTCCTCCTCCGCCTCTTCCTCTTCCCTCCCCCTCCTCCTCCTCCTCCGCCTACCCGTAGCCATTTTGGCTAAAGATGTTTGCCTCCGCGGAAACAAAATGGATACTGCTAGTCCGCGGCCAGCTGTCATATCTGAGTGGGCTCCTGATGGAGTGTGTCCCGAGGCATTTCCCCTTCCTCGCAGTATTTCTGTTTTGTTTCACATGGGCGAGCGGTTTCGCAGCGAGGGTGCTCATGGGCCCAGCGTCAAGAAGAAGTTTAAAACTCGTCGCCGCGTTTCTGATACTCCCCGTACCCAACATTGTGGAGATGAGGATCACCCCGCTCCCGAGCCTGTTGGCGCTGGAAGTGCTGGATGTGGCGACAAAGGGCTCGTCCTGGAGAAGGGGATGGTGACGTGTATGCCGATGATGATGGCAATGATTAATTCCTGGGCGGGCTCGTGCGCGCGCAAGCCATCGAGCAGTTCGAGTCCACCCGCCTGTCCTTCCTCGAAGATTTCTCCTGCGTCGCATCCACCACAGTCGAAGACAAGGTTGCCAGCTTTGCCGCCGCCTGAGACGAGCAGGCTTCGAGGAGCAGTACTGTTGGTGCTGCTGTGCAAGATATTCCTCGTGTGGCCGGGGACGCGTCCAAAAGGCTTTCTGTTAATCAAACCGACGGGACCCACTGGCAAATGCAAAAGCAGATCTGCGCTCATCATGCTCGAAATCGAAAAGCTGAGACTGGATTGGACGAGCATGTCACTGCCCCTGTGCACATCCGTTTAACAGCCAAACAGCTTCGTGAGGCCTTCGTTCTGGCCCATACACAACCACAGCCTGTCGTCAATTTCGCTGGGTTCGAGCGCGAGATCGACCATACCGTCGTGAAGGCATTCAAGTCCAAACCCGCGAATTTCAACAACGTCAAGCAGTGCCTCACTGATTGGACAGGATCATTACTATTAGAGTACAAGCCGCCGACTTTGATTTTGATCTGCCGAACAGGTCTCCCGTTAATTCGCCGTCAAGTTCAATGGTACAGTTGGACCAGCGGCGCGCAGGGTGGTCAAAGTTCTGGACGCTCAATTTCTTGGCCCTGGGCAGTGGGAGCGCTTGCGGACAGAAGCTGCTCATGGCCCCCAGCTTGACCTCCGCGTCGGTGCACGCACACGAATCCCGAACAAATCAAAGTATAAGTTCAATGCAAGAAGCTCAGGGAAGCATTCCGTACAATGGGCCCCACCAGCGAATGCCCCCCCGATCGCGAGCGCGGCTTCATCGCCGCGGGCGGGGGCCCGATCCCCCAGCTTACCCTGTCCCCCGGCAATGGCAAGACAATCCTCCGGTGGGCAAACAAGCTCATCGCTGAGCTGCAACTCAACCGGCGGCGCATGGAACAGCTTGCCCAATCGATTGCGCCCTCCCCCCCACCCCCCCGTCGAAGTGGCCGAGCGCAGTCTTTAGCACCTCAATGGTGGCAGCATGTGTCTCCAAGACGAAAGCGCCGAACACGTCCTTCAGTGCCTTGGATATTCGCGCCCCTCTGCGCCACGAGGGCGCAAAGGCACATTCCATTGGATTGCTCCGAGCGCATCGACTTCAAGGGCGGGGCGCGCGCTTCAAGAACCACGTCAGGCAGATCGCCAACTGCGCGACTTCCCGAAGCAGGCCCAGCGAGAGGGTCGGGCATTCATTTCGCACCGCTACCCTTGCACTCAATGAGATGCGGTGACCAATCTATCTTCCCGTCGCATGCAAAGCTAACCACGCGAATAATGAGACGGTTTCTGGCCGCGCGCTACGCTTTGTGATCTTGATTAATAAGCAGCGGGCCCCTCCTTATAATATCCACAACTACGAGCTGCCCCTCAAGCACGCCCAGGTGATCTCTCGGTCGGCGCGCGCTGACCTCGCTCATGTGGCTCGATCGCCGTCATCGCGGACCGTTGTTCTCCACGGCGATTCTTAGTTCTCGCACCCCCCCTTATATGTGCATATAACACAATATATATATATGTATATATATATATATATATATGAATATAGGGAGAGAGGGGAAGAAGAAGGAGAAGAAGAAGAAGAAGGAGAGAAAACAAACAATAATACTAATACTACTACTACTAATATATATATATAATATATATATATATATATATATATATATGCACCATTTTTTTTATATATATATAAAAAAAAAAAAAAAAAAAAAAAAAAAAAAAAAAAAAAAAAAAAAAAAAAAAAAAAAAAAAACGCGCGCGCCCGCGCTCGCACGCGCACGCGCGCGCCACCGCCACCGCCACTTCCCCGTGCACCTGAACGCGCGAAGGTGGAAGGCAGATGTCCGAATGTCCAGGGGCCGACATGGCGGATGCCAGTTGTTCGGATGACCAAGAGCCCCAGTGACGATGCGACCCGCTGCGACGGGCACGCCCGCGCAGCATCCGCCACTGACTGGTCGTGGATCAGCTGGCCGAGCTGGATGCTGCGCCGGGCCGTCGCCTCCACGGGCGCGAGCAGCGCCCCCGAGGCAGCGGCAAGCACCCAAACGAGTAACCACGCTGCGCAAGTGGTTGGTCTTCAGCAGAAGCAGCATGACAAAGACAGAGGACAGCGCGCCTGGAGCGCGACCTCTGCCGGGCGCAGCGGAGCATCGACGCCCGCGCGAGGCCGCTTGATCCCCGCCTTCATCTGTTCCCATCCGCCGCATTGCGCGCAGGATGAAGCATTCTGAACCCGGCATTAACGGGGTCGCCCACGCAGCTTGGGCAGCAACGCCGAAGGGCCGGGATATTCTCGGACGCTCGTCGGCGTGGACCATGCGGGGGCAGGTGGTTTGCGACGACTTCGATGGCGCGCTGCAGGTCTGGCCCCACGAAGGCTGCGACGACGATTCGCCCGATGCTGGGCTCGCCAGAACGCCGCCTGATGCAAGAGTTCTGGGTCCACGCAGCACTGACGCGAAGATCAACTTCTCGCGTCGGGGCGCAGCCCAGGAAGCTGCCCCCTCATTGGACGCCGCAGTTACAGAAGGGGATCCATTTGTGGTCGGGACTTCGGCGCCGACGCGCGCGGGCTCGACGCCCTCGCGCGCGCCCGCCCCAAAGCTCCGGCGGTCTGTCCAGACGCGCCAGTTCCCATGGATCTCGATTCGCGCGTGCCCGTTGCCAGCATTTCCCAGACCTTCACGCGGGATGGCCCCCGCGCTGCGCAGGCGCCTGCCGCCTTGGAGGCGACGCTCGACCAGCTGCACACCGCGTCGCAGGCGATCGCCGCGACGAAAGCCCCCCCCCAACACGCATGGTGGATCGAGTCGAGCATCAGTGGAGGGTGCTCCTTCGGTGTCTCAGGTGTTGCGGCGGTGGCCGCCTGCATCATCCAGGATTTGCACAGGAGGCTTGAGGTTCCTCGCCTTGGCATCGCTCGGGCTTGCGCCGACGATGTCGGGCGCGTCCTCGCAGCTCACCCGCGCCTGAAGATTGCCCGCGACGTCATGCACAAGGCCGCCAGCATCGCGTCGCGCTACCTGCAGATTCACAAGTTCAATATTGTACACATTGTTGCTTAAATTTTATCGAGTAACGCGACCGTGCCCGTGCTGCTACTGAGTCAACAGTGTCAGGCTTTGCGCGAGTGGAAATGTCGACGCGCCTGTCTGGATTTGCGTCGCCATGGGACTTGCCGCTGATGGCGCGGCTTGTGG